CCACTGGTATACAACCTCAATTACAACATACAGGATCTTTAAGCAATATTATACAATTATTTAAAGCAATATTATACAATTATTGACTAGTGTACCATTGAATATGATGTGATATTCACCGGCAGATGACATATTGACCGAGGCGATAGCCTGTTTCGTTGAAGAGCGGGAAAAAGACGCACATGTAAGGCGTGCAACAACTACTCGAACGCTGCTCATACAAAAGTAACTCAAGTTTATACTCATTATGCAGTTTAACTATAATAGTAAAGTAATGATATTTTAATCGAGAAATATACCATAAAGAACAAAACGCAACAATTATTTTTAATTAGCACGCGTAATTAACAGTCATTGAATATGAGTCTCAATCTATTTTTAGACTGGAAAAATCCAATTCAGCCAGTGAATATGATACTACACCCAGTGAATATGATTCTATAAAAAGTTCTGTTGACTACAGTTTGGACCATTGAGATTGCAGCTATATTTAGATCATATAATAAATATAATTAACATATCTCTGAAACCCCATGCAGAGGTTTAACAAATACCTAATGAAGATATGTGACAATACTTCGTTTGACATTATATATATTAAACAGAAAAGGACAATTCTCTGAAGACTTAAGCATTAGGAAATGATTCAAATTTCTTATAAATATCTAGTATTTTATCAAAGAGAGGTTTTCGACTACTATCAAAACTATAGAAAGACACTGAAAAATGAATTTCATCTCAATTAAAAATATAAAGAACAAAAATTACAATATCGCAAATGTGCTGGAATTTTCCTAGATCTTTTTGTATTTATGTTCATTTTATGAGCACTTTTCCGAAATTTAGTGTAAAAGGTTTTAATATCTCTATTTCTTAATATTTTAAGGTACACCATTGCATTACTCCCACTTTGAAAAGTATTCAAATAGACACTTGTCAACTACATTGAAATTGAGGGTTGTGGATTCAAACCCCAGAGGGGCGACTTTTTTATCTTTCTTTTTTTCTTTTTAACATTATTAATCTCTCTTATGGAAGAAAAAAGTGTTTGATTTTAATTATATAATTATTGTAGGGATTTATTGGCTAAATAATGTCAAATTTAATGGCAAATATGATTCCAGATATTTTCAAAGTTTGATAGAATAAAAACTACACGGTAAAGGTATTTTATCTTCGCATGATCAACCAATATACTTTTAAGAAAATTTAGGCAAACTTTGGAAACAGCCCCTCATTGTGGTAAATTTTAGGGATATTTTGAATAAGGCTAATTATATAGGGAAATGGTCAAATTAGTGTTAAAAGTGGGAGGGATAGGGCAACATTTTTATACATATTAAAAACATTTTGTTTAGAAACAATCATTTTGCTTGTGTAATTTGTTACCTGGATGCTTTTATTTGTTTCTTAACACTGAGCAATATGTAAACATTTTTCAGAATGGTGATATTATAGATTATTTAGAGTTTACCCATTTTTTGAAAAAAGCCCTTTTAAGTTTTATTTCAGAAATATATCCATTACTCATAAACCACACGGTAAATTTTATCTTCATTTTGCATACAGGTGACCTTTCAGACATATAACTGTCCTATGTTTTCAATTTTACAGTTCCTTATATATTGCCCATTACCAATGGTCTACATTTAATGTATGACTCTCAATAAAAACTCTGTTTATACAGCAAATATACATGCTCGCAATTAACCTTCACTCTCCGAGATTCTTGAACAGAAATAAGTCTTATATATGGGCTCTAGTTCTGGCTCTTCAAGGCTTCACTTTCATAAAAAAAACAGAAGGCAACAAGCTGTTTACTTTCCAATTAACAACTTTTTGATAACATCTAACTGTGATATAAATCCTTATCTACGAAGTTCGCCTGCTATCTATTTATCAAAATAATTTTATGCAAACCAAGAATATTTTTTAGAAATTTTACATGAAACTTGTTACAATGCATATTATCTAATACAAACAGAAAATATCGATATTGAGCTTACCAAAGGACAAAATGTCCCTCATACTTTGAGGAAGCATATTAATTCCACAAAAAGGACCTTTAAAAACGAACAATTTTTTTTAACAAGAATTGTTCACACAATATTAGAGTGTCCTAGGTATAACGGGGCAAAACACTCGATGATGTATGGCACCTACGCTGACGATGTTGACAGTTCATTTTGCAGTACCATACTGTATGCAAAACATTTCGGTTTTCAAAATACAGCAGCAATCTCTGTCAGAAAAAGACAAACTCAACTGATCACTTGATATTGAAGACCTAATCTTTAATCTTGTGCAAAAATTTAAGGAATGAAATGTTCTCTCAAACAAGCGCATTACCAAACAGACAGGGATTTCTCCAGAGTGAATTTTGAACATATGACATATAAAGGCTTTAAAGTCTATTCTGTACGATACTGGAAAGAGCAAGTTACCGTCCACGCCCCCTAGCACGGCCCTTAAAAGAAATTTTAGTCTAGAAATTTCCTTTTTTGATGCTGACAAAAAACATTGAAACGAAAGTAAAGGGTTGGTCAATGGTTTGGGCCCCAAAAATTTTGGAAAACAAAAATTTTTAAAAGGGGAAAATGTACTTTAATGGCCCCTGCATGAGATTAAAAAGTAGTAAATCTTATAAAAATTTTTGTTACCCCATTTAAAAAGAAAATGATAAATTAAACAAACGTTTTCATTAAACCCCCAAATTTTTTTCCCTTCCCCCTTTTTCGCAAATTTTAAAATTTAAAAGTTTACCGTTTGTTTAGGTTGGTTAAAATTTAAAATTTGGGGTGGGGTTGGGGAAAAGGGTATTTGGGAAAAAGGTTTTTAATGATTTTAGTTGTTCCCCCTGTTAAATTTTCCCCTTTGGTTTTTTAGTTTACAAAAAAGGTTCCCCTTTGCTGGGGTGAAAAAAATTTATAAAAAATGTTTCATGATTTTTTAAAATTTAAATTTTATGTTGGGGAAAAAAGTTTTTTGAAATTTTGTTCCCGAAAATTTCCTTTTTTTAAAAATTGTATTGGTTTTGTTTATTCCCTTGGCCCATAAAATTTTTAAAATAGGGGTCCAAAGATCTTTTTTTTTTTGAAATTTTCTTGTTGTTATTTTTGAAAAAGATAATAAAAAATTTTTTTATAAAATTTTTGTTTTTTTGGGTTCCTTTTTTTGTTGGCCAATTAAAAAGGGTTTTTTTTTTAAAAATTCTGTCCGGTTTTTTTTTTCCAAAAAAATGGGTTTTGGGTTGGGTTTTTTTTTTTTTTTCTTTTTTAATTTTAAAGTTTTTTTATTTTTTAGAAAAGATATGTAGAATTTTAATTGACGGGGAAAGGGGCTTTTTTGTCGGCCAAAATTTGTATTAAAGGGTAGTCTTATGTTTAAAGATAACTTAAATCGTGAAATAAGTAATACAAATTGAGAATAATAATTAAGTAAAAGCCTTTTAAAAAATGATTGACTTTCCTTTATTTTGAAATATGATGAAAATAGGATACATGTATTATTGTATTATAAATGATATTTACATGACGGCGTTCGAAATGGACACATTGTCAGCGCAACAAAGAGTTTCATAAAATGGTTTTAAGTTTTTTTTAGATAGTTTTTCAGGAGTTTTAATTAGTTTAATTCGATCAGAATAAGTTTGAGTTTTTTAGATATCATAATATACTGGTAGGATATGTGGCCTGCTTTTTAAATGTCTTTTGACGTCTTATCTGTGATATGCAGGCTTCATAAATCTGATCCCCTTTCGAAATTCCATTTTATTTAGTTCCGCCCATTGTTTTCTCGTTTAGGGCACACGCATTTTTTTACTTGGGGACCATATGCCGCTTTTCATGGAATGGCACTTATATACGTGTCACATTGAAGGTTCCATGATAACCTCCATATGAACACATCTGCGGATGTTTCTAAATTCCAAATTGTACCAGCTAGTTCATGTTAAATGTTGAATTCTGCTTAAGCCGGTGCTAGGTGGCGTGGACGGAAGTTTGCACTTGGCAGTACCGTCCATGAACAGGCTCAATCAAACCGAGCCTGCAACATTATAAATTTTGCCGTGTTGGGCTTTCTTTAGGGATTCTTATTTTCTCTATTTTAACATATACAATTTATGAAACATTAAAAAAACTTACTTACTACAGTAGTGTTAAACAATCATTTTAGATGCTCAAATGTTATCTATTGACTTAAAATGAGGCTCTGTGTCGGTTTTTTCTAAAATAATACCTCCGTTGCGACCGTTGCACCAACAAATCTCCATTGCGTATTTTAGTGGTACCCTACCAAAATTAGTGTCCTGTTGCCAAGAAAACAAGATGGCGGCACAGGTAAAGAAAAAGTAGTCTACACAAATAATTAATAAAGAAACCGTAAACGTCTCTCTGTAGGAATTATTTTGTTATTATGATTTAGAATTCTGTTATATGTATCAAACTAAGTCGTCGGTGTTGGGTGCTAATATGTATATAATCTAAGATAATTGATAACGATTCGCCCTGATAACGATTCGCCCTGGATTTTGACGATTCGCTCCATTTAAAGATACCCATGAAAGTCAATAAGATCATTAAGATTAAGAAGAAAAAAAACACAAATAAATAAAGTTAATGTAGGTAACTGATATATTTATAAAATGAAATGACACATTTGATTATTTCTTAATCTAATAACATAAACAGCTGTTCAATAAGTTTCTCATTTAACTGTTTATGCATAAAAAGATCATATATCCCGGTGTAACCTAAATTCGGCGATATAAGAACAAATGCCAATGGCATTTTCAATAAACTATAGTAATCTATAATTATACTTGATTTAATTTTACTACAACTATTTAAAAGTTACTTTAACTGTTTAAGTTGATTTCTAACAACGTAATCGTTCAGCGGTTGCCAAATATAAACAAATATGGCTGATGTTTAATCTTACTACGATCTGAAAACGTCACCTACATTCGGCAATTCTGATTGGTTGCAGTAAATTTTTAATTTTTGTAGGATTGTGACGTAGTATGTTGACCTAGATCGGCAGTAAAAATAGTAAGATAACAGATGGCGACTGTCAAATTATTCTAAGCAACAATATCAATCAAAAAGAGGAAAGTATAGATAAACTTGAAATTGCCTCAGGTAAAACACACAATTTTCTCTAAGTCATATTCAATTTTAATGTTTACCAGCTGTATCTCCATCTTTAGCGGAGAAAATCACTCGAGTCGTAAAACTAGACCGTGGGACATAAACATGATTGACCTTCACCTCTGAAATCTCTAACAAAACATCGCCAAATTTAGGAGAACGCCAAATTTGGGTCATTGTAGGATATGACAATTGTTGAAATAGCTGTACATTTTAGTGTTATTTCCATGCTTGTTCCTGTGACGTCATCATATGTCACTGGTCAATTTTTAGAAATGCCCACTACTCTTGGTAAATAAAGCATATCTATATGACTGGGGTAGCGAGTAGGGCAACTGCAGGTGGTGTGTATAACCTATAACACAGGGGATGGCCATGGTGTGATAATCGGGAGAGAGCCCATGTGTCCGAGTAGCACATCATGTCCAAGTCTATAACTTAACTCACAGTAATAGTGAGCTTAGCACAAGATATTTATAAAGTTCTAGTAATAGTGATACAGTTGGAACTGATAATACTGTACACTCTAAATCAAACCAAATATCCTCACATGACTTATGTAAATTTTCTATAATTAGGAAATACGAGTTAAGGTATTCTTGGGCAAATATAAAGTGGCAATAAATTGATATGGAAAAAACATATTCGACCATGTATGTCCTAGATAAAATATGTTTATTTGTATTTTTTTTTCAGGTTGAAATAATTTGTTAAATGAAGTTTAAAGATGAATACACTCACAGTAGAGGGTGGACTGATTAACAATGAGAGCCTTGGTCATTTTTGTAAAATAGGCAAAGAAAGAATTAGCGATGAGCTGGACAACCTGAATAAAGTCATGTTTAAATGTGGAGGATGCAGAGAAGAACTTAAGACAATATGTGAGTTACATGAGCACCTTTTAACAGAGTTTTTATTGGGGTCATACCTGTATAATCACGATACAAGAACAGCATTTCCGGTACATGCATCTGTTTCAAAAGAGACTCAAACAGAGAGCCCATGTCATGTGACAGAAGATAAATGTGTTACAGTAGATTGTCAACATCATAGAAAATTAATTTGTGTAAGTGATATTGAAAATCATTTTGGAATATTGAAGGATGGTTCACAAGTCACTTCAGATAATTTTAGGCAAGAAGATGGTAGTGATGGATTCAAAAATGAAAGGAAAAGAAAATGTGAAAAAAGAAAAAAAGGAACAGGTCGTGGGAAAAAAGCGAAAAAGAAAGCAAGACCCAGAAATAGTAATCATTGTAAAATTGAAAATGTCATAGATTCAGTAGAAGAAGTAAATGATGATCTCAAGCAAATAGGTGATTCTCCTGAGTCACAGGATATAGTAGATAACCAGTTGAATGCTGTGAAAGAAGAGGTAATGGATTATAACTATGACGAGTCCACTGATGAAAACACTGACAACTTACATGATTTGGAAATCCCGGTAAATGGACAATCAAAGAAAAAACCATCAATCAAGAAGGTAAAGAGACAAATGAAAATGAAGATAAGCTCAGGTGCAAAAAGTAAAAAGTCGCACAAACTTAAAAAAAGGTCAATTCAATCAAATCATACATTAATGGAAACTACAGGTGTAGACGAAGAAAGTGTTTATATACATTTAAATCACACTGAAAATGATAATTTTCTAAATAATAATTCAAATGACAGGAATTTTCTGAATAATAATTCAAATGACGGGACCAATTCTGATTTTAAAGAATGTGATGTTAAAAAGAGAGGTCGTCCGAGAAACAAAACCGAGAAATTTACCGGTACATGTGATCACTGTGATACTGTGTTCCATAGTGAAAAACGGTACAATATGCATTTATACAGTGTTCATAAGGCTCTTTATCCATTCTCCTGTAAACAATGCAACTTTAAGCCATTTACAAACAAGGAGGACTTTAATGAACATAAGGAACACCATCCAAAACAAGTTTATAATTGTGAACTGTGTGGTAAAGAACTTAAATCAAGGTGAGTGAGGCTGACATGTCTGGTGTTTTGTTGTTGTTATTTTTCAAAACAGTTTTTTTTTTAACTGTAAATACTCAAATTTAGTTGTCAACATCATATAGCTCAGCTGGTTTGATAATATGCGGACAGGCCTTAGTCAAGTATTCATATAACATAACTTTTATAAGTTATATGCAATTATTTCCAGTAATAAGGACAAGTGAAAATATTCAAGAATTAACTATATTATATGGACAAGTTAAAAATGCTTCACATAAAAACGGACAAGTAAGTCAAAATCAGATTTTGCCGGGCCTGCTCAGTATGTTCTGTTCTGATTTATGATTGCAAAAATAATAAGATTACAAAATTTATATACATAAATTATATTTATAATATTAAACTTCCTTGTATGGGATAAAAGGTTAAAAAAAAATCAAGGCTTATTTTTCTATACCAGTAACCACTATCTTGTCGTACTGGGAAGAATAGGTTTATGAAAGTTTAATAACTAAAAAATAAGATTTTTACACAATGAAATAATCTATAGTAAAGAGTTTGATATTTAGGGCTACTTTAGATGTGTAAACATATACAAATGTACGTTTATATGCTAAAAAGGATAGCCTGGGAGAAATCTGTGTGAGGAGATCACTGTAGTGGCAAAGGTGACTTTGAACCATGATTTGTGTCAAAAATATAAAGCTTTATGACAACAAAAAATGCCAAAGTAAAATTAATATATTATAATTAAAATATACATCTGATTGTATATTTTTCAAGGGAAGGTTTGAAGCTGCATGAATATATACACTCAGGGGAGAAACCATATTGCTGTGACCAGTGTGACTACAGGGGACGTACATCTACACAGCTCAGACAACACATGTACACACATATGGACTCCAAAACTGAACAATGTGAGCACTGTGGCAAGGCCTTCTTTACCAAGGGCAAACTCAAAGAACATTTAAGGTATGTTTTTGTGTACAACTAGTGTAATCTAATTCCTACTTTCCAGTTTAATACAAACCATGTATAATGACATACACAAAATCCTTTGCATCTGGTCTGTTAAAAATTGTTTGAATGTCATGTAAACAAATCATTTAGAAATAATATAAGACTGACATGTAAAGTTACTGTCAGTTTAATCTTTTAATTTTATGCTGCACAAAAAAATTTATCCTCCTGTACTCCCGCACTCACTACTCTCATAGTTCCATGGTGCTTACTTGCCTTTTTTTTAGCAACTTCCTGAACTGGAATACATGTATACCAGATATACACATATATAGAGATTAATGGACACAAATCTTAATTCTGCTTTATCAACTTAGTATTTTATCCCTTGATTTCAAAATAAAACTGTTTCTGTCAGTCATAAAAATATATGCAATTATACTAAGATTTTTACCATATCTTAAAACATGCTCCAAGTTAGACTTTCACAATTTCTTAAAACATTCTTTAAGTTGTTCTTGCAAGTAAACTTTGTATGCAAGAATTAAAGATGTATTGTAAACATTTTGTATGCAGGAATTATAGATAGATTTGAATAATTTACATGTAATGCGTTATTACGAAACTTGATTTGATACATGCATTTGAGTCTGTCAAAATTCTCATTTCTGATTAGATTAGATGAGATACCAATTATTTTAATTTCCATGTTATAATCTAGATGAATTTTTTGTTTTCAGGTATTGTCGTAAAGAGTTTAATCATTACTGTCCGCATTGCCAGAAAGGTTTTCCAACTAACTCAGGTCTACGTAAACATATTCTGATGCACACAGGTGAACGAGCATTTGTTTGTGATGTTTGTGGATTTGCAACATTTAGGATTTCTTTACTTAACAGTCATATGAGGACCCATACAGGTAGATATCATGTTGATATTGTTCTTATTAAAAACTCATAAATGAAATATTGAGAAATATTGATAAAATAAAATGCATATTTTCATTTTCTGTATTTTTCACTGTTAGTGTTAAGGAGTGAAATAATGTATATTTTTTGTATTTTCACTGCCTGACTACTTTCTTCTAGATTCAGTCAATACTCAATATTATAGGGGGAGTCTTTCATAGGTCAAAATAGAGAAAAAATATATAATAAACAGAATTTTTTTTCCTTTGAATACAGGGTTCATTTTCATCATGTGGTATAAAAATTATCATATTTCATTTGTAGTTACTACCATCTTTGAAATATCTTCATATCTTCATGTGAATAAATTTTCATACCAGTTGATGAATGTAATTACCTTATACATGTATAAAGATTTTAATGTTAACCCTTATGTTGACATAAATAAAAAGAATTGAAGGACATTATTGGCTGTGATTAAGAACCAGTAATACATTTATTAAGTATAATTGTGTAACTGAGTGACAATTTAATACAAAATAATTTTTCTTGTCCAGAGTTACTTACAATGCTTAATTTGCAGTGTTAAGGCTTGTCCTGCTTTCAAGTGGGATATGACAGTTATTTCCATATATTTTTAAATTGTTTTAAAAAGCTGAAATTTAGTGGCAATAATTATGGTCAAACTGCATAAATGTGGAGGCTGGCCTTGTTATAATTATGTGAAAGTCTAATACTGGTGACATGGGAAAGTGCTAGGATACAAAGAGTTGTAATGCCAAGCTCTAGAGTCTTACTCTGTCATTATGCTTTCGAAAGTTTTCCTGATAAAAGGAAAATTATATCGAGGATATTTGTTTAGATCAGTGTAAGATAGGAATATATTTCACCGAGTGAGCACCAAAAGGTATGTTTCACGAGTGGGGCAACCACAAGTGAAATATTAACTTTTGGTGTTCACAAGGTGAATTATATTTCGATCTTACACTAAATTAAACAAATTTTCTTTTTCTGTATGCAAAGACATGTTTAGAAAGACATTTTAATCGTGTACTAAATGATAAGTAAGCCAAATGATAATACAACATGACATCATTTATGACGTCACGTCAGTAAGTTGTTTTCCAGTACCATGCAGGCTGGTAATTCAATGATACAAGGTAATGGGCTTAAATTCAAAACAGTGAAAAATATCTAATTGATAATTTCAATCATTGTTTTAAACAGTGAAATGTCTGTTTTTTATTTCACTGATATATTTCTATAAACGACCAAAAGCATGTAATAAATTCCTGTATCAAATACATGTATAATGCACAGATGGTTTATCTGGTTCTTGGTTCTTCTTGACCATAACATTAAAGGCACATTAACTCTAAGGAATAAGTACATAATGTCTTCATTAAAGGCCCATTATGCGCCAGCCCGAAATGCTTTCATTTTTATGAATCAAAATCTTTTTATTTTGGGAAATAAGTATTCTTTTAAAGTTTCCTACAAGTTACTCATTGGCTTATAACTTTATTTTTCATCTATTGCATTTTGGCAAGTAGTACATTTCTAGTGATTAGTATTTTGTATGGAAGTCTAAATAATACTTTGTTTACATTTTGCTACTTTTATGACATATTATTCTACAAATATAGGGCTATTTTCTTCTGGTAAGAAACCTCTTATCTGAGGCATAGTCTGCCTTTTAAAAGGGCCTACATGTGTTTTATACTACCTTGATAATTGATTTACATAATAGAACATGTCTCACTATTATCACCTGAAGACAGTAGCGCTGAATATAAAAGTAGCCGAATGTAAACAAAGTTTAGTTTAACTTCCATTCAAAATACTAAATAATAATAATAGTACTAAATTCCAAATTGGGAAAAAATTGTTCAGCTATGTGGTTAATATGTAACATTTCAGAAACTGTAACAGGACAATAAAAAAACAACAACAACAGTTTTTGATAGATAAAAGAAATTCATTTTTTTGGTTTAATGATCCTTGATAAACGTAATTCATTTTCAGGGCTTAATGGGCCTAGATAAACGTAATTCATTTTCAGGGCTTAATGGGCCTAGATAAACATAATTCATTTTCAGAGCTTAATGGGCCTTTAATCATGATGATGTGAGTAAAAAAAGTCTATGGAAAGTCTTTTTTCTGTTGCAGGTGAAAAACCTCACAAGTGTAAGGAATGTGGTGCGAAGCTGGCTACACGTGGTACATTGTTGTTACATCTACGAACACACACTCACGAGAAACCATTTGTATGTTCATACTGTAGCAAGGCCTTTACTTCAAAATGGAATCTACAGACTCATCTTAGACAACATACAGGTTTGTTTGTATATGTGTATGTGTGCTCATACTTAAATGCTTAGGATTTACTATCAACTTTTATTGAGATAATATTTGAAATAGTGTAAGTGGTAATGACCAGTTACAGTGTAATTTGAATTTAAGAAGGGTAACTTCTGTATTATGTGTCATAGTTAGCATAACTTCAAAGTTTGCTTTGACTAATATAGTTTATGTAGATTACATCTTATGACTTGCATGGTTGCTTGGTTATATGTGTTCAAGTTGTTAGAGCTATTTTAATACCGTATATCAGGTTATTTTTGCGTACAGCAAATTACGCAGTTTAAAATCAAGTCACATTAACAACGAAATTCCTGTATTGAAATGTAGTAAATTTTAGCGACTCTTTTTTTCGAGATATTCAGTGCATGGAATAAAGCTAAAATTAGATACATGCAAAGAAAAAACAACTGATAAAAGACATTCTATTGTTGGGGGTGAGTTAAGGATACTTACTTTAAATAACATAGACCTATCATGGTAGAAGTTATATTCTTGCAGTTAAAAAAGCTATTCAACCAGCTTGTAAATAATTTGTGGTTTTACTGAAGTGCCAGCAGTTTATAATTATAATCAGGTGCCTGGGTTTATTAGGATGTCTGGGGTTTATGATTTTATTCAGATGCCTGAAGTATGTGGTTTTATTAGCTCGACTATTCGAAGAATATGAGAGCTATTGTAGTCGCCCCGGCGTCGGCGTCAGCGTCCGCGTCGGCGTCTGCGTTGGTTAAAGTTTTTTGTAAAGTCAAATATCTCAATTATTACTTGAGATATTCAATTGAAACTTACAATACTTATTTATAGTAACAAGGTACATCAGATTGACAAGTTGGATAACTCTGCCTACAATATTGACAGAATTATGCCCCTTTTTAACTTAGAAATTTTGGTTAAAGTTTTTTGTAAAGTCAAATATCTCAATTATTGCTTGAGATATTCAATTGAAACTTACAATACTTATTTATAGTAACAAGGTACATCAGATTGACAAGTTGGATAACTCTGCCTACAATATTGACAGAATTATGCCCCTTTTTAACTTATAACTTTTGGGTAAAGTTTTTTGTAAAGTCAAATATGTCAATTATTGCTTGAGATATTCAATTGAAACTTACAATACTTATTTATAGTAACAAGGTACATCAGATTGACAAGTTGGATAACTCTGCCTACAATATTGACAGAATTATGCCCCTTTTTAACTTATAACTTTTGGGTAAAGTTTTTTGTAAAGTCAAATATGTCAATTATTGCTTGAGATATTCAATTGAAACTTACAATACTTATTTATAGTAACAAGGTACATCAGATTGACAAGTTGGATAACTATGCCTACAATATTGACAGAATTATGACTCTTTGGAACTTAGAAATTTCGGTTAAAGTTTTTTAGTAAAGTCAAATATTTCAATAATTGCTTGAGATATTCAATTGAAATTTAAAATACTTTTTTATAGTAACAATGTACATCAGTTTGCAAAATTGCATAACTCTGCCTGCAATATTTGCAAAATTATTTGCCCCTTTGAAACTTAGAAATTTTGGTTAAAGGTTAAAGGTCTTCAAAGATATTTACTTGAAACTTTACACATGCACTAAGGGTCATAATTGGAGGGTCATACTATCAAGCGCTTAGAATAGTCGAGCATGCTGTCCTACCGACAGCTCTTGTTTAAGTACCTGTTGTTTGTAGTTTTATTCAGGCGTCTGCAGTTTAGGGTTAGCTGGACTCCTTTCATTTGTGATTCTCTCAGTTGGCTTCAGTTTATGGTATTACCAACATGCTTGCAGTTTCTTTTTTACTCAAATGCTTGTGGTTTTAATCAGGCTCCTGTCGTTTGTAGTTTTGATCAGACACCTGCTTTACCATAAGCAGTACATTAATGATCACATAGATTTCCCCCATTCACCAGTAAAAATAGCCACATTACAATATGTCTTTATCAGTGTCTGTGACTAAAAACGACATGATAGCAAAATGACCATTCAATTCAGGTTTTTGGTCTAAGACTTGTTGAATAATTATTTTATTATCTTTTGTTTTATTTTTTAGGGGAAAAACCATACAAATGTGAAATATGTGGTCAGGGTTTCAAGCAGAATGTATTACGAAAAGCCCACATGCGAAGTCATCTTGAATGTACCTCGATTGAACCAAATACAGATGCATTAACCATTAAAGATCTTTCTACAGAACTCCTTACCACCATGGAGCCGGACAACAAAGAACATAACCTCCAGAATCATATGGATACACTTGACACGAGGGAACCAGTCAGTATCATAGGTAGTGACAGAAGCTTGGAACCGGACAAAATTCACATGGAAAGTTTTGTTTACGATAGAAATATAGATGGGGATATGTTGAACCAAGGTGTACCAAGTGAGAACTTGCATCCCTTAGACCTAAAGTTGCACTTTTCAAGTGGGGCTGATTTGAAGACTATGTATAATACCTCTGTGATAAACTCCCACCAGTTACAATCCACATCATTTGATATGATCAATTATCAGGATATTAAACATGTGTGATGAATGATAAAACATATATATATATATATTTATTTATTTATTTATCTGTCCGATATTAAGTTGAATATATTTGTCATCAAATTGATAAAGTAGACATTGCTAGAAAGTAGAAGCGAAACCACTTCAACCTAAATTAATAATATGCTGAAGTTTAATGCATGTTTAATCTTGTACTTTTTGAATTTTTTTAATTAAAGCAATTAAATTTTGTTTAATAAGAATCCAAAATTTAAGGTGCATATATCTTGGGGTTTTTTTTATCAGCATTGAACTTCGATTTTATTTCTTATAAACTGAAATGTTGCTTGAGAAATAAAATTCTGGATAAATGTACTAACATATAAATGCATGAGGGTACTGGTCGGGGACCATCAACTGGATACTTTTGAAGATATTTCTATACAGAGTTCATAAGATCTAAAAATTTGACATAGTACATCTAAGTTCTTAAGTGCTGATTATGTTGACACTTATATCTGAGGCCCGTCAAGGGAAATATCAGAATTACCTAAATTGTCTACACTACAGTACCATGTGTCCTGTGACAGATATGTAATGACTGATTTAATTCAGATAAAATCTTGGGTGTTTTATAATTTTTTGTTTTCAACATGATATACAATATTTCAACAGCATTTAGGATATTCTATTGTTTACTCTGCAAATGATCATAGCTAGTACAACAGGTAGGGTATAGCATTCTGATGTCCATTGTCAACATTCTTGAAAAATACATTAAACTATTACTGTATACATAAGTTGATATAAATATAATTACTTAATTATAGAAGAAATATGCATTTATTGTTGATTAAAAAGTGCCTGATAGATTGATAACCACTGAACAAAGAAAATCTCATCCGGGTTTGATGGTCCCCAACCATTATATATAACTTTCTCTGCATTTTCTTACCAAAACGTTTTTTCAAACATATAAACACCCATCAAAGCGATGAATGTAATGCTTTACCCTTGTTATGATTTTTTTTTCATTGTATCATAAACATTCCTGTACCAATATACTATTTATATTAACACAATTTGTAATCAGAGTAAACGTAAAGTTTAGACATGGCTTGCTTAGACATGGCTTTGCTTAAAACTAGTCCTGTCTGTATTTTAAAATCAACTATTTTTGTTATGTATTCAAGTTAATGACATTGAAATCTGTTCATCTGAATATTTGAGCCGTGTCAAGACAAAACCAACATAATGGGTTTGCGACCAGCATGGATCCAGACCAGCCTGCGCATCCGCGCAGTCTGATCAGGATCCATGCTGTTTGCTTACAAATCCTATAAAAAGTAGAGAAACTGATAGCGAACAGCATGGATCCTGATCAGACTGCATGGATGCGCAGGCTGGTCTGGATGCATGCTGGTCGCAAATGCATTACGTTGGTTTTGTCGTGACGTGGCTCATTTTACTTTTTCATTGGGATGGGCTGTATTTCTGATATGTTTTATAATTGGTAAATTCTGTAGATAACAAATGCATTCTTTAATATTTAACATGCTTGTAATATTTTAATGCATATTTATATATACAATCTATAGTCAGAGCACACCTGTAGTCAAATTAGTATATTGTATCTTTAAGAATGCTAGGCAACATAATTTATAATAGAACAAATGACTTATTCTATTTCACTATTTCTACCATACATATCATAAGAAACAACATGTGACATAGACTTTCTGTCATGGTGGTTCTTAAATGCTAAAAATGTAATGAAGTTGTAGGTTATATACTCAACGGCCCAAATATTATCTGAATTTATGTAAGTAAAATTACCAGAGTAATAATTAAAGTTTATAATTAACTTGTAGAAAAACTAGCAAAAAAATAAAACTTTTAATAACAATCTAATCATCTTAGAAGAACTTGTTTTGTGCTTTTATCAACTGGTTATTACTAAACGGATTGTGATATTTTGAAAAGTTGAGAAGTAAAGTTTATGAAAATTGTGTTTTCTATGAGTATTCTTTACTTTAATATTTTTTCTCCAATGTATAAGAAATTAGAAAAAGTCCAGCGTGGCCACTTCAGGGCGATGGGCTTCTGTTTAGCCCAAATGACAGGAAAATGATCCCTGGCATCTAATGTGACAGGGTGAGTAACGTATATTTATAGTTCTTTGTGAAAAGTTCCACTAAAATAAACATCATTGGAATTATTTTTTTATCAGTAATAGATTAGTAATAGAAAATAGTAATAGATAGATTGAAATATGCAATTCAACAGCGTTTTGTCCAATGCAAGACATTTCCCCACTAGATGGAAACCACATGTTTTTGCCGGATTTTATGTTGGTTCAACGAATGGACGAATGGATTGAGAAATTAAACACCACATGACGAAAATGGAGTACAGAAGACCTCAATCTGAATCATAATCAAGGTTCAGAACTACAGATGGGCTGACATCTTCCCATTTGCCCCTAGTTTTATTTCTTTAATTTACTCCCGCCCTTCCCCGGGTCACCTGTCCCATTTCCCTGTGCCCTTTGACTGTGTGGGCTTTTATACTATCATTTGTTAGCTCACCTGTCACAAAGTGACAGGGTGAGCTTTTGTGATCGCTTTTCGTCCGGCGTCCGTCCGTCCGTCGTCCGTTAACTTTTACTTTAAATGACATCTCCTCATTAACCACAAGGCCAATTTCATCCAAACTTCACAGGAATGTTCCTTTAGTGGTCACCTTTAAAAATTGTTCAAAGAATTTAATTCCATGCAGAACTCTGGTTGCCATGGCAACCGAAAGAAAAAACTTTAAATATCTTCTTTTAAAAAACCCTAAGAGCTAGAGCTTAGATATTTGGCATGAAACATCTTTTAATGAGTGTCTACCAAGTTTGTTCAAATAAAAGCCCTGGGGTCAAAATTGGCCCCGCCCCGGGGGGTCATTGATTTTCCCTATATGCATATAGTAAAAACTTAAAAAATCTTCTTTTAAAGATCCCAAAGAGCTAGAGCTAAGATATTTAGCATGAAACATGTTCTATTGAGTGTCTACCAAGTTTGTTCAAATAAAAGCCCTGGGGTCAAAATTGGCCCCGCCCCAGGGGGTCATTGATTTTCCCTATATGCATAATATTATAGTAAAAACTTAAAAAATCTTCTTTTATAGATCCCAAAGAGCTAGAGCTAAGATATTTAGCATCAAACATGTTTTAATAGGTGTCTACCAAGTTTGTTCAAATAAAAGCCCTGGGGTCAAAATTGGCCCCGCCCCGGGGGACATTGCTTTTCCTTATATGTGTATAGCAAAAACTTAAAGAAATCTTCTTTGGAAAAACCCAAATAGCTAGAGTTTAGATATTAAGCATGAAACATCTTCTAGTGAGTGTCTACAAAGTTTGTTCAAATAAAAGACCTGGGGTCAAAATTGGCCCCACCCCTGGGGTCATTGATTTTCCTTATATGTGTATAGCAAAAACTTAAAATCTTCTTTGAAAAAACCCAAATAGCTAGAGTTTAGATATTAAGCATGAAACATCTTCTAGTAAGTGTCTACAAAGTTTGTTCAAATAAAAGCCCTGGGGTCAAAACTTGCCCGCCCCAGGGGTGTCATTGTTTTTAACTATATGTGTATAGTAAAAACTTAAAAAAATCTTCTTTTAAAAAGCCCAATGAGCTAGAGCTTAGATGTTTAGCATGAAACATTTTCTCATGGGTGTCTACTAAGTTTGTTCAAATAAAAGCCCAAGGGTCAAAATTGGCCCCGCCCCAGGGGGTCATTGATTTTCCCTATATGCATATAGTAAAAACTTAAAAAATCTTCTTTTAAAGAACTCAAAGAGGTAGAGCTAAGATATTTAGCATCAAACATGTTCTAATAGGTGTCTACCAAGTTTGTTCAAATAAAAGCCCTGGGGTTAAAATTGGCCCCGCCCCGGGGGTCATTGATTTTACTTTTATGTGTATTATAAGCAAAAACTTAAAGAAATCTTCTTTGAAAAAACCCAAATAGCTAGAGTTTAGATATAAAGCATGAAACATCTTCTAGTGAGTGTCTACAAAGTTTGTTCAAATAAAAGACCTGGGGTCAAAATTGGCCCCGCCCCGGGGGTCATTGATTTTCCTTATATGTGTATAGCAAAAACTTAAAATCTTCTTTGAAAAAACCCAAATAGCTAGAGTTTAGATATTAAGCATGAAACATCTTCTAGTAAGTGTCTACAAAGTTTGTTCAAATAAAAGCCCTGGGGTCAAAACTGCCCCCCAGGGGTGTCATTGTTTTTAACTATATGTGTATAGTAAAAACTTAAAAAAATCTTCTTTTAAAAAGCCCAATGAGCTAGAGCTTAGATGTTTAGCATGACACATCTTCTTATGGGGGGGGGGGCTATATACAGGTGAGCGACCTCAGGGCCATCATGGCCCTCTTGTTTAATTCCTTATTGGTTACTAATTTTTTCTTCTTCTGTATCATTTTAGTTAGTAGCCTGCCCATGCTCTGTTTTGTGTCCTGTCCTGTTTTTGTTTGAGGTCCTCCTGGACTCCGTGCTACTGGTTTTTGTTGCTAGATCGTGTGGGGATTGCGTTCCTTGTTGATCTTGTTTATCATATTTTATCTGCTATCACCACATTATGTTATGTTAGTGTGTCTGTCAGTAAACTAGCAGTCTGATTGTTATGGATATTCGTGAACAGACTCAGTCAAACCGACTCTTGCAATTTTAATGTGATAAGTGTTGTTTAATCGCTTCCGAGGGATCACCCCTTTTCCAGATTCAGTTTTAAATACAATCTGCACTGCTTTAAGGAAATGAAAGAGATTATGGGAAATATTGTGCCGTTGGTAAAAGTATGATAATTATAAAGCAGTACACCTCGAGATGGAAAAATAAAAAAAGGATAAAATTAATCTCAAGCAACATAACTTAATCTTAAAGTTACATTAAATAAATATGTAAAAATATTTTGCCGTCGGCCTAATAACCAAGCATTCTACTGTTTTATTAACCTTATTAACAGTATTGTTGTAAATCTCATCAAATATTGTTCATAAATTAAAGATTTTAAACGGAAAACCCCACGGTAACACTAAAGTTCGTATACGAATTTTAACATGCAAATGAAGACTATAATCAGTTCATGTATGTGCTACGTCACAGTGTTATAGTTGCTATACAGAACACAGCAAATACGAGATTTTCATGTGCATACACACTTTAACCGTTTTAGCTTCACGGTGCACTTGGCATAACGTTCAGAAAAAGATAATCATCTCGTAAAAATATTAAATTTGTATAAAAACAAAGCGTAAATATACCGTTATATTAGGACTGCTACTTATAACCATGTTTGTTGGTACGGATGACCCGAAGGCGGAGTTTCTCATGCAAATTCCGATTTCGCCACAATGAGGTCGCAGATGTTTATGCTTATAAAACTCATTTTGGTTGCCTTGATCTGGAGTCGATATGAAACCAAATTTACTAATGAAATGTCGCTATTTCTGTTTTTAAGAAATTCATTTAATGTAGCTTTAATAATAAAATAACATGAGCATACCTATAGCCATTATACATTCATTTAAATATGACAAGCGATATTGGAGTATTAAATAATGCACGATGTATACTAGTTTTTTACTTTTGAAAAGGTGCATGATCTTGAATGAATGTGTGTCACGCTTTCAACACATTGAATACATAATTTTTCTCTGATAAACGTTATCTAACACGTGATTAATGTTCATGCCATATATGATATATTGATGTAAGTAGATGTAATGGTGTTTTCTTAAAGGATGACGACGGCAACACCTATAATGATCAAAGTCACCAAAGAAATTCGATTGTAACTTCAAGCTGTAGAAATAAACGAAAATATACAATTATATGCAAGTAACTGTTTTTATAATTATATTGCTTAATAAAACATACATATGAATGGTGTATGCCCTACCTTTATATCATTTTAGATAATGTATTTTGCCATATGAATGATTTAATATTGATGAAATGATAATTATAATAATATGATTACTGCGTGTTTATTTCGATCGTGTTAATCAAAGAAACATATAGATGTATATAATTGCTTAATCCCCCTTACACCAGTTCATCAATGCTACAGGTTGTGCAGTTTATGGTCACTGCCTGACCAACTTTCTTCGCATTAACGTCGACTTTGATTGGAGGAACTGCATGCAAAACGTGTACAATATGTTTGCAATACATTCAGAAAACAACAACAACAAAATTGAATTGAAAGTACAAATTAACGTAAAAGTTAAACATAGATTATTCTCCAAACAATTTTATGATATCTAATATTATGAAGTTTTTATACATTGTTGAGTACAAAATATATTTCTATCGAAGAAGTATTAAACGCTAGCTCGATAGAAATCGTACACAAAAATGTATGATTAACTCTCATTGCACACCATCGATTTTCATGGGGAAACACTGTAATTTAAAGAAAATACTCAAAACAAATAGAGTTATACTGTTCACTTAAATGATGACGGCGGAAACCGCAACAACAATCAACGTCATCCAGGCTGTAAGACTGGAACTATCAGCTGTAAAAGAAAACAAATCTATATTTTGAAGACGGTATCAAACGACTTTCTTTTATATGTAGCTTAATACAGACGATTTATGTCAAAAAGATGTGAGTTTTATGCCGTATTAAAATATGTTTTGTCTCAATGAATGATTGTGAAAATATCCTAGTTTAACAATATTTTTATCATTAACAGGGAAAATGTTCATACTTCCGTAAACGTACGGTTTCGATTCGTAAAAAATAAATTTGAGCCGCGTCACGACAAAACCAACATAATGGGTTTGCGACCAGCATGGATCCAGACCAGCCTGCGCATCCGCACAGTCTGATCAGGATCCATGCTGTTCGCTATCAGTTTCTGTACTTGTAATAGGATCTGTAAGCGAACAGCATGGATCCTGATCAGACTGCGCGGATGCGCAGGCTGGTCTGGATCCATGCTGGTCGCAAACCCATTATGTTGGTTTTGTCGTGACAATGCTCAAATTTGTCATCGAGTCTGATTATCACAATAGATTGTAATTGATGTTTTATTTAAAGTGAATAAATTCGTGTAATTGTATTAATTATCAATCAAGACCTCAACGATATGAATTAATTAATTCAAGCAAACTGTCTTCACTTGATCTTTAGAAAAGGGATTTGTTATGAGCATTCAAAAAGATGTGAAAGATCCCTTGTTACGACTAATGTTTTTATTTATTGAATAAACACTATATCTTATTATCACGATTTATAAATGACGATTTGCTACGTTATAAACAACATATAACACCATGTACGGGTATGATACTCACATGATTCTCTAAATGGTGCAAGTTGGATAGATGTACATAGATCGGTATTCAAATGCTTTGCACAACAGAAAGCCATCTCTCCATCTTTAACATCGTCTACGTTGATGTCGAGAGATTGCGATATACTTTTACCATTATACTCAGCGTCAGCAATGATTGGCTGATAATTACTTGTGATAATAGAGTTATTTGAGGCTACATCTTCATTTCCCTTATACCAGGTTAACAAAGCTACAGGGTTCGACGAATCGGATGTGCAGTTTAGTGTTAGGGTCTTATCATCTTTATTTGCAGTAATGTTGACATTTGTTGGTGGAACTGAATGTAAAATATGGAACATCTTTTCATATTATTTCATTATCTATTTCACATAATTACTACTATTTAAGTTGTGCTTAAATATTAACTTGGCTTGATATAATAAAATTTAGATACCTTTAATTACATCATTTAAAATCAACGCAAACAACAACAACAACAGTAACAAAACACAACCACAAAAAATTAAGTTTTGACAACAATTGACTTACAGTTAAACATATTTTTTGGAGTTAGTGTTAAGATGTTCCCAAGGTTTTTGTAATGAAATTCGCATTGGTTTTCTTCGCGACCGTTACTTTCTTTTGTTATTCCTATTGTTGTTACAGCGCCACACAATGTTCGATTTTCACGAGTTGGATCCTATGTAAAGCAATAAAAATGTAACCAATGACAAAATGCTTTGTAAACCTTAGACGAAATGTTTTCAGTATCAATGAATGAATATCAAATCCTGCTAGCGCTTACAAATTTCAAAGCCTGAAAGTTCGAGGAAAATTTGGGGCGTCATGGATTTCAGTTACATAAAAATATTTAAAGCTAGTTTTGAGCTCACTGGTTAAAGGTAACGTATGCCAGGGGCAATAGTTTTAATGGAATACTATTCGAGATAATAATATTTGCACTACGGTCTAAGTAATAGAAAGAGCATCGAAACACGAGGCTATCTGATTTGTACGAGGCTATCAGATTGCCGAGTGTTTTGATGTTCTTTCTCTTTTGTATCATAGACAAAAATAAAAACAAGTTCCCTGTTGTCACATTATGAAACCCCAGAAAAAAGTAAAAAGTAGCCAAAGAACAAGCATTTGGATATGATATTTCTGTCACTATTCCTTTCTCTGTCGTTACAATAAGTAAACCCCAAGACAATGAGCCAATCAATAGGCATGTTTTGAAGTGCGGGTAACTAATACATGCACTCAAGTTAACGCACTGTGCATGTATATGTATACGATTTAACTCTGACACATTTTCAACAGAAAGGTTCCCAGACTATGATACAAATGGGTTGTTGTATCATAGTTTGAGGACCTTTCTGTTGCCCATTGATTGGCTCATTTTTGCTGTGGTTTACTTATTTTGACGGCAGAGAAAGGGAAAGCGATAGAAAAATTATATTCAAATATTCAAAACACCCGGCAATCTGATAAATATTCGGAGGATACAAACCCCCGTCCAAATCAGACAGCTTCGTGTTTCGATGTTCTTTCTTTTAACTTAAAGTAGTTAATTTCATGGCAGCTTTAAGAACTGCAATATTCTTCCGTGGTATTAATACAGTCAGTTAATCTAATATGAGATGTGACTTTTTTTTAAAGATAATTTAGACCCCGTTTTGAATAAGTCCATAATTATGTCAGTTCAATTAAAACATAGGAACAATAATTTTAAAATAGGTTTACGTTCTGTGCAAAAGCCATTTATTGTTGTCAATCGCATCTTCTAGGTCCTCTGCGTTTAACTGCAGATAACGACATTCAAATAACTAGAAATGTGTCATCATGCCACGGATGCCCCCGCATGCAACCAAAATTTCAAATAATAATATTTAGTTCCAAATTTGTTTTCACAAATTATTTTTTTCATTTTAAGTTAAAAGCCCTCAAAACTATTCAATGTTAACACAAACCATTTTTATACAAAGTTCAAGGCACTGAAACTATTCAGTGTTAACCTTTTGTAATTTGCATATGATGCATATTTGTAGCCAAAATAATGGGTACATACATTTCCACAAAAGTATGAGTGCTGAAACTGAAAATTCAAATTTTTTCCAACATTCAAGAAAGACAACTTTGTCCAAAATCATTGAACCACGACCAAATTCAAACTTGAACTGCTTATTCCTAAAATGTATCTATATGTCAAATTTGTGTTGAATGTGTACACTCATTGGGGAGATTATGAATGGAAACTTAAAATTTCTGATTTTTTTTTCAAAGTTCAAGAGGGATAACTCTGTCAGCTATCATCAAACCATGACCAAATTCGAACTTGACCAATGCATTCTTATAACATATCCACATCTTTAATTTGTTGTTGAATATGTACAACTGTTGGTGAGATGATGAATGTGAACTGAAAATTTCCTTTTTTTCAAAGTTAAAGGGGCATAACCTTGCCAAAAATCATCGATCCATGACCAAATTCGAACTTGACCTGTGCATTCCTTTGGACATATACATATGTAAAATTTGAGTTGAATATGTAACACTGTTGGGGAGATAATGAACAGAAACTGAAAATTTCATATTATTTTAAAAATGAAAGGGGCATTACTCTGCCAAAGATCATTAAACCATGTACCCAATTCAAACTTGGCGTGCACATTCTTTTAACATATCCATATGTAAAATTTGAGTTGAATGTGTAATACTGTTGGGAGATAATGAACAGAAACTGAAAATTTCATATTGTTTTCAAAGTGAAAGGGGCATAACTCTGCCAAAAATCATGGAACCATGACCAAATTCGAACATGACCTGCAAATTCCTTTGACATATCCATATGTCAAGTTTGAGCTGAATGTGTAATACCGTTGGTGAGATAATGAACGGAAACATAGGCACTTGGTTTCGGGATAAAAAGCCTTTTGAAGGGTTTGTATAACTTAAATTTGATTGAATGTAACGATTTTTTAACGTAGATGTCTCGATTCTAAATTCGACATTTTTCCGATATTGTTTTTTTAGTAATATCGGAAAAATGTCGAATTTAGAATCGAGACATCTACGTTAAAAAATCGTTACATTCAATCAAATTTAAGTTATACAAACCCTTCAAAAGGCTTTTTATCCAGAAACCAAGTGCCTATGAACGGAAACTGAAAATTTCATACTGTTTTCAAAGGGAAAGGGGCATAACTCTGCCCAAAATCATCGAACCATGACCAAATTCAAACTTAACCTGCGCATTCTTTTGACATATCCATATGTCAAGTTTGAGTTGAATCTGTAATACTGTTGGGGAGATAATGAACGGAAACTGAAAATTTCATATTATTTTCAAAGTAAAAGGGGCATTACTCTGCCAAAAATCATAGAACCATGACCAAATTCAATCTTGACCTGTATTTTCTCATGACATCTATTTGAATAGTTTGAGTTGAATGTGTAATACCGTTGGGGAGATAATGAACGGAAACTGAAAATTTCATTTTCAAAATAAAAGGGGCATAACTCTGCCAAAAATTATCGAACCATGACCAAATTCGAACTTGAGCTGTATTTTCTCATGACATATCCATTTGTCAAGTTTGAGTTGAATGTGTTATACCGTTGGAGAGATAATGAACGGAAACTGAAAACTTCATATTGTTTTCAAAGTTAAAGGGGCATAACTCTGCCAAAAATTATCGAACCATGACCAAATTTGAACTTGACCTGTATTTTCTCATGACATATCCATTTGTCAAGTTTGAGTTGAATGTGTAATACCGTTGGAGAGATAATGAACGGAAACTGAAAATTTCATATTATTTTCAAAGTAAAGGGGCATAACTCTGCCAAAAATCATTGAACCATGACCAAATTTAAATTTGACCTGTATTTTCTCATGACATATCCATTTGTCAAGTTTGAGTTGAATGTGTAATACCGTTTGGGAGATAATGAACGGAAACTGAAAATTTCATATTACTTTCAAAGTAAAAGGGGCATAACTCTGCAAAAATCATTGAACCATGACCAAATTCGAACTGGACGTGTATTTTCTCATGACATATCCATATGCCAAATTTGAGTTAAATATGTGCAACCGTTACTAAGATAATGAACGGAAACTGATGATGACAGAATGACGAATGACGGAAGGACAGGGTTTCACTATATCACTGTCGGGTACGTGAAACGGTGCAGATTTTCCGTGATACGGTGCTTCCATCCAATGGATTTTTCCGGTTTTTCTTGTTTATTACAGTAAATGTATAAAATCATCTGTGCAATTTAAACATTTATTCTGTCAATTTGTTTTGTCGAAATTTGTCTACTTTCTGTTTCGTCTCGACAACGGTGCAGACACTAAGCAACGGCGCGGACTTTCCGTAACCGTGCTTAGTGTCTGCACCGTTGTCGAGACGAAACAGAAAGTAGACAAATTTCGACAAAACAAATTGACAGAATAAATGTTTAAATTGCACAGATGATTTTATACATTTACTGTAATAAACAAGAGTATTCACTTCAATATAAGTGTCTCTTGTACGGAGATTGACTCAAAAATTTACCACTTCTCTCGGTTCAAATTTCATGTACATTTATTTACAAAAGTTTTTTTGTAAAAAAATATATATCATATGTTACATACATTGTGAACTTATTGATCTTATAGTGAATTTATTTTTACGTTACATGCAAATATTCTTCTTTTACAATATAAAACGGATTTGTCTAAATACATAGAAAATAAAATGACACGTACCTTTTAGTTGTTTACCTTCCTCCATATTGGATGGAAGCACCGTATCACGGAAAATCTGCACCGTTTCACGTACCCGACAGTGTATATGCCCCAGCCATTATATGGCGGGGGCATAAAAAGAAAAGCTTAACCTTAGCTCAAGAAACTAATCATGTAGACAAAAATGTATTTAATTCTAGGATTATTAAGCCATATTATATGCATGATATCGGGTACAAGTCCCTTTTATATGCATACGATTAAAATAAAATATTTTGATATGAACAATTCACAATCAAACTGTATTAACTACGGGAGTATTATGAATAATAGTCGAGTTGTTCCGATTGTCATTATTGCATATGAATTTATATCAATTACTCGATGCTAGAATATAACTGTTAAGGATATGAAAGTTGGGACACAAATTTTATGAAAATAAGACTCTGACAAACAGACCAAAGTTCAATGGATATAATTGTCACTGTAATTTAATGCAAATCATATCTTACATTTTGGAGTTATGCCAAAGGAACGGAACTTACTGGTTCACATGGATATTTCTTATTGAAAACAATATCAGGTCTGTGATAGGAATAAATAACAAAAAATATTTGACAAGGTGGGTTACTATGGCAACGACAGGTAAACATCGCTGTTGTATTATCTGTTGAAGCTGCAGATAAATTCGCCATGGGTAAAAAATCTGTGAAAAGAGTAAAAGTTCGAAATGTAATAATTTCTTTCCTACGAGAAATATGATACGACTTATGAAAATTGGAATCTTTAAAATCAAATTATAAAGATAAGAGCAAGAGTTTGGTTATCATTTAGAAATTGCACTCATACGGGATTTCTATCTGTTATCAAAACAACATGAAGTAGCTTATAATAAAATATAAGCATTGATGTCCTTTCTATAAAGATACTGTCAGCAAATGTTTCTCTTGTAAACCAATTGGAACGGTCATAATTCCACCTTAATAAGTAGTATTGTAACTTGAGAATTTTTACACAATTAAGAAGTTAATTTAATTTAATTTACCATACCGTTGAAATACACTGTATGCGTTGCCGTACCCACATTAATAATTTACACTTAATAACATACTTACAAAACGCATGTATGATACTTGCATATCACCACATAAAATATATTAAACATTGTGTACGTACATTGAACATCAAGTTCTGTTGTCTGACTGTTACCCTTATCATCTGAACATGTATAATTGCCATCATGTTTCAGTGATGTCTTTATGATAATGAGATTCCCTTTATACAGCTTTATGCCCTCTTCGTTTATTGTTTGTCCGGTAACAAGAGGATTCGCCAGTCCACTAGGTCCGGTCCATGTTGGATATTGCACGTTTAAATCGCATGGAAGGGAAGCCGATGACCCTTCATTTCTTTCTACCAAAGCAGCTTGTGCGATGCCTAAAAATGATCATGGTATCAATTGAAAATATAAAATTTGCTAAGGAGCTTAGCTGATACTTTACTATTTTTAATTAAAGAATACAAAAGGGACAATTAAATAAAGATGTGTTGTCCTCGAATTTCAAGTAAAAAATTTAAATTAGTGAATGAAATTAAATACAACTTTTTTTTATAATACCTATGATCTAATTTCTATTCTCCTATCAAAAATAAAAGGTGTATTTCTTTATTAAAGACTACTTTCGTCTTCATATTCATTCATAAAAATATTGTTACATATAAGCAGGATAAAAGCTGATAGTTACTATCCTAAAAATAACATATACTACTAGGAAGAATCTATGCAGAAAGGTAATCAATACGCAAAATGACTACTACAACCATTATCACAAGTGTAACAAACGTTGCCAGCATCAAACCCATCATTCTTTTTTACATAAATGAAGAAAATATACAGTTAACTCTATCAAAAGTATCTCTACACGAATAATGACGGAACATCCAATGCAGAAGATATAGTAAAAACGTCTGTCCTTGGTAATATCCTAATGACCAATTCAAATGTGGTGTCAGGGATTTAATTTCTGTAAAATGTTTGCTCAATTAAAACGACAAACCAGATCTACTACAATCCAGCTCTGTTTTATTCACGCTCCGCTCCAATAAATATTTTATTATTTTAGTCCTTTAATCGGTTAATTGCAAGGAAAAAAGAGAAGAAATTCACGCAGAATGTTTTTAGTACTCGGATTAAATTTTTAACTGGAGGCATTGTCATTGTCTTTTCGTAACTTATTACTTTGAACACACCAATATCATAAAAAGCATTTGTGTTTGCGCTAGACAATTTTTTCAACCTACAAGGTATTTACGTTTTGGACATTGAAAACAAAAATATATGGGCAAGTTCAGGCTATCGACAGTTACACCGTGTATATCCAGTGACGCAGGAATGAGAAATGATGCAGGAATTGTGCAAAAGTAACGCATAATTGTGCAGCAATTTAGTGGCTAAAACGAGCACTGAGATAAATAAATGGACCAATTTTATTTAGTTTGCACTATATACACGAAGAAATGAATTAATCAGTGCATACGGTTGCCGGGACATCATACTTTCAACCTCATCAAAAATATGTTTATTTTTCAAGATCATTCGTGAAATGACGACAGACTAGCGTATTGATGGCGATTTTTAGTTTCGTTCATATCTTTAAATACAATAACGTACATATTACTTTATGACATGTGATATTCGGTGTACCTGAGACACTTTGCAATCCCCTCGTGTCGTCAGTTAATTAAGCAGATAAAACGTAATTGAGGCCATTTTTACAAGGTAACGCCGAAATCGTGAATGAAGCACTGAAGCAACGGAGGTGATCTCATTAAAAGTAGCTAAATCCTATATGACCAGCTTCCTTTTATTATTTTACGACACTTGTATTTGGACAAATGTCTTAGGTATACATAACATGAAAAAATAATGTTTTGAATGTGTAAAATGTACATATTTATTTGACGAAAACACAAAAGTCACCTTTAAGACGGTAATCAGGTTGTCGTTCTCACGAATGATCTAAAAAAGTAAACATTTTCCTGAAAAATATTGTAATGCTGGTTAAAGTTTAATGTCGTAGCAGCCGTATACGTTAATTCATTTCTTTAGATTTGATTTAGAAAAAAAAATTGGTTCGTTTACTAATGATGTTTTTCGATTTGGCAATATTGTTGCACAGATTCGGAGTTAATTTTACGTTATTTGCATATTCATGCGTTACTGAATATGCACGGTGACTAAGTGAATCAAATAATCTTCTCCTATTTTGGAAAGTCTTGAGCATTTTTATGCGACGACCATTGTTATTTATCAACCTGACATTTCCTCAACATGTTGCGGCTCATCGTTTTTCTGATTTGCCGTAAGATAAATTTAAGCAATCTTAATTGCGGGATCAGACTTTCTACACTTACCGCCCACTTTACAATTATTGTCTTTAACAATGTTAATGTCATTTATTTATTTTTCTTGGCTGAAAAAATGACTTCACGGATTGAACGCGTGCCGGATTCTCCACAATTATCAGTCGTTTATAACTTCGCTGTGCGCATATCTATCTATACGTTGCGCTTTACTGATGGCTGTCATGAGGTAAATATTCTGTTTAAACTAGTCTAAATATGATTGTCTTTAATCAAGGATATGTATCTGCCATGAAGACACTTATAACTAATGATACACATGACATACATACTTCAACTTTGTGCTCAATTTTCTAACAAACATTTTAGAGTAGATCACAATGTTTAGTGAGCGACAGATACAGCTTGAGTAGACGTATTTTAAGTTGTCACAATCCCCACAACTAAAATTGGGGTGATAAAAAATAAATATCTGCCGATTTGGCATAATGAACCTTCAACAAGTGTAATTTGTTAAGATTTTCTCATTTTCTAATTGGTCTCATGTAAGATATAAATCTATTTTTATCTTTCCAGTTTTATTTACATTTGTGTATTTATTTTTATTTGCACATTCATTTAGTGAAGTCAAATTTATTACAAGATAGAAAAAAATAATTCACAGTTAAAATTCTATTTCTGAGCAATGAATACTTCAATTCAGTCTACCAAAAATGCACATACATGTATTATTTAGCTACATATTTTTGTTCTTATTGCAAATTGACTGGGTTTATATTTGGAAAACCATTAATGCATATGAAGACCAGTTGTTTTAAAGAATTTATGTTCAGCAATTCATAGATCTATATTAACAGTTTTGGTATGCTAAATGTTGTGAAACAAACTTATTTCAATTCATAAAATATAGAGCTGATTTTACACGGCAAGGAACAGTATATACTGAAAATTGATATTTTGAAATTTAGAAATTTTTTAGCTATTTTTCGAACATGATGACTGAACATATCAACTATGTTAATATCGGACATGTTCGCATTGTGAATGAGTTTCACCTTTTCATGTTTTTATACACAGATATTCGCAATTAAGTATTTACCCGCAAAGAATTTTGATGTTCCAACTGTTAAAGTCTTTTCACATGTTAATGTCATGTTCTGATATAAACACTATCAAAAACCATATATTTACCATGCCTTTAAAAAAGACACATTTATTTATCTGTGTAAATGTTATTTTATAACATGTATATCTATTTTCTCGTCTTTTTTTTTACATTTCGATTTTCACATTAATCGAGTGAGATAATGTTCTTGATGCATTTATTATTTTTAAGAATCACCGTTGAAACGTTTTTGAAATAAATGCATTTATTTCCAATAATAAAAACGTTAAAAGAAAAAAAACAAAGAAAAGACCCTACTTACCTGTACAAAACAATATATTTAATGTATAATGTTTCAAATTCATACTTTTTCTATATACAAAGTAATCCACTCGATATAGTGCCTCTATAGATTCCAAACCACCTGTTTTATAATTCCAGCCGTGTCACGTGGAAGAAGTGTTTACACTCTATTGGGTACTTAAACCTGATTGCCTTAAGGATATCGAATAGAAAAAGACACGAAAGTATTTTATGTAACACTTAGCCATTAATTTGATTAAAACAATAATATCAAAATGAAAAATAATTCATTCGTTCTTTTTAACTTTCTATGTTCAGATAGTTACCAGTAGTTATAAAAAGTCATTAGATAAGTGCTGGAAAAACAAAGCAATAATTACTAAAAC